TGAGTGAGCGTGAAAATTTTTGTCGTGAACGTGAGTGAGCGTGAATGAAAATTGTCCAATTTACCGACACTACTACACATTAATTCTGTCAATGTTTCACACCTATCAAAGTTTGTCAATTCAAATGTCTATTTGTTTGTATATGTTATAATGGCTATTATTTTTGTACTTTATTAAATGGTAAGGGTTTGATTAAGGACATTATTTATTAATATCAACAAAATTATACAAGTAAAATTATTATTTTTAATTCAATAATGTAAACAATTTAATTATGATGATGAATTTTTAATAAATAATTCTGTTACTCAATTCCGTTAATGTTTGCACATTAAAGTCCATATCCTGTGTTGTGATTAAGAATTGTATTGTGTAGAATAATAATTATAATTATTGTGAATTATCATATATGCAGATTTAGTTATTATAAAATAAAAAATATTTATAATTTATTGTTTTGACAAACACACGCTTTGCATTAATAAGTTATAATAAACTAACAAACTATGTTAACATATAGAATTGTTTTTTTAATAATATTATTAGAAAGTTTAACCCTTAACCCTCCCGTCACTAACAATGGTTTAGTTTAATAAATATAATTTTTACAACTTTATAACTATTAACGGATTTTGTAAAAATAATCATCATTAAAACTTTATCAACACTTATAATGTATTTAATAATTATTAAATTTTTAACAACTATTCTGATATGAATAATGTGGTTTATAGGATCGTTCGGCTGCCCCTCCCCCTCTTACATATCAATTAATATGTATATTAGCTTATGAGTGTCGCATTTGTAGTAAAAACACACAAATGAATTATACTGCAATATATATGAAAAACATTACTGGTTTCCCTAGTTATAAATTACAATTCTTGCTACTACCTATAGTTTATGAGAATTTACATTTTATTTAAATGCATTAGTAATTAAAACTAATAATATTTTAATTTTATAATTATAACACAAGATAGTATTTATTTATAACATTAATTATATGTAAATATTTGATTATAAATTATCACTGTTAACTTTAATTACTTAATTTGAAAATATGTTAATTACATGCAAAGGTAACAAATACACATGTATAATATATTATAACCTTGATTAGTATTGTGCCAATAGGGTAAATATATTACTTTACAAATGCAGCTCATTCACACAAAAAACTATCAGTTTTCATATCTGTAAATACGCAAATTGGTTGTGTTAAAAATTATAATTTTTATTTAAAATCATCTAGCTGTATTACTCAAAATAAACAATGATATTTTTTGTTCATTTATATAGAGTTTTAAAATATCTATTTAGAGACATATGTTTGCCGAGAAGGCGGTGCGAAAGTAAACGCCGATTGGATGGACAGGTAGTAGTGATTACCGGCGCCAACACTGGTATCGGTAAAGAGACTGCATATCAAATGACATTACGTGGCGCTAAAGTAATTATCATGATTGTTGATTTGATTTTATCTTATATTATAAGATTGTTCATAACTTAATAAATTATAGATTTAAACTTACCGCGATTATATTTTGCCTTTTATAAATTAATTATACCTTATACTATTATTATGTTTCAATTATGTTAATTGTTGTGTTTATAATAATCAGGCAATCATTGGATGTCGTGATGAGAGTCGAGCCGAGAATGCGATCAAAGATATAAAGCAAAGGAACCCAAAGGCAGACATATATTCACTTCCGTTAGACTTGTCTTCACTTCAATCCGTCCGTCAATTCGTGATCGAAATCACGAAACGGGAGACAAAAGTAGATATACTTATAAACAATGCGGGCATCGCTTTCACTCCCGAATGGGCCACCGCTGACGGGTTTGAGATGGCTTTCGGGACCAATCATTTGGGTATTTATTCACAACATTCTAAACACTAATTTATGAAAAATAAATAACACTAATAAAAAGTTGCGACACTATGTTAGGACACTATCTGTTAACGCTATCACTATTACCTATATTGAAAAGCCCCGGACGGCCGGCACGTATACTTACCGTGTCGTCAGGTGCGCACGTGGTGGGAAGCATACACTTTGAGAACATACATCTCCGGAACGGGGCTTATGAGTCCCTAAAAGCATACGCCCAGAGCAAACTGGCCAACGTGTTGTTCACCAGGGAGTTGGCCCGTAGGCTGGGCCCGGATAGCGGGGTTCACACGTATGCATTACATCCCGGAGCCGTACGGACAGACGTCTCACGCTATATGAAGAGTGTGTTTAGGTTTTTTGCGATTATATTTAATATCATAGCAATTAATGTGATAAAGGGCTGTCAGACAACCCTCTACTGTGCCCTCGACGAGGGGTTGGATAACGAGTCGGGCTTTTACTACGAGTGAGTGTTTAGTTTTGCCATTTTTATTGTGATTTGTTTGTAGTTTTTATTTATTTCGTTATTAATTGTGATTTAATTGTATAGCAATTGTCGACGAGTGGATGCAATGGTGTCGACGGCTACTGACGATAAAAGTGCGGAACAGTTGTGGCAATTGAGTGAAGAGTTGGTCCGACTCGAAGAGCATTTAAAACTTCCCAAATAGTTGTGTCAAATAATTAACATTCATAACACTTAAATTTAATCATGCACTATATATAAATTTAAATTAATTAATTAAAAATTTTATTCAATAGAAATTAATAATAATGATTAATAACTAATTATAACTGCTTATCTTTTGGGAATGTTTTTATTCAAAACAATCTTGTTTATTTTTTAAGTAGGAAATTTTTAATAAGCAAAAAGTTTACAAATAAAACCAATTAGTTTTTGATCACTAAAACAAATCTCAATATTATTGAAGCAAAACGTTAATAATTTTATTACAATAAAATTGCATTTGATTAAAATATGTAAAATTTATTTTATTTTTAATGTTAAATTGTTTAATTTACACATTGAGCTTTTTTAAACTTTATAGTAAATGGACAGAAAATGTAATTTTTAGGCAATGAATTGAGTGTTTGTGTCAAATGTTGTCACAAATTGGTTGCTATTGTTTGCATTGACGCAAATCAAGCATTGATTTCCACACCCGTCCGGTGAGGAGATAGTCTTGAGCCGATTCGGGCAAAACGCTTAACAACCAAAGCGCCGGCTTATCCAGAGTGGCAGCGCATCTATAGTAGAGGTCGGGTTCCCGAAGAGTGACCGCCTTCTGCTGGATGTCCAACACTTCGTGGATATCAGGTCTGCATATCTGGAGATTATATCGCACTCGGCGTTTGAATTGATGGTAAAACTGGTCGCCGCCGTACTCTTGCCGTATTTGGCCATCCGTTTGGAGCCATTGGTTTTTAATAGCCTTATTGAGTACATCTATGTTAACCATCTCTGTTTTGTACATATTTGGCTCAATTGTCACCACTTTTACGCCAAAACCGGTCAACTCTTTGCGCAGTCCGTCAGAGAAGGCTCTGACCGCGTGTTTTGACATACAATACGCGGTTATTCCCCAAAACGTGAAACGACCTAAACATGCAATTTAATTATAACGAGACAATTATCAGACAAAAAAGTAGTTAATTATTGTTAATACAGTATATAATTGATAAATATTTCAGACATTTATGAAATATAGTGATCATAAGATTACCGGCAACACTGGCCATATTGACTACCCGTCCGCCCGAGCGTCGCAAGAGTGGCAGACAGTGTTTAGTGACGCGAACCAAACCAAACACATTGACGGCAAAAGTCTTGGTAAAAATATCAATCCCGGCCCCCATCTCTAGGAACGCGAACTGAGCGACGCCGGCGTTGTTGACCACTGCCCACAAGTCCACACCCGACACCTCTATCGCCGCGACCGCACGCCTCACGTCCTCTTCGAGAGTGACGTCCAGTTTAATGACTTTCAAACGATGTGAACATTTTGTGCGAAGTTTGGCCGCACTCTGGCTATCGGTGGCCAAAACGCCCGCAAACACGTGAAACCCATAGGAATCCAAGCGATAGCACAAGTGATGTCCGAAACCCGAATCACATCCAGTGATAAGAACGGCACGATTTTTGGCCGATATGTACTCCCGGTGTGAATAGTTTCGCAATATATTAGCCAAAAGCCACGAGATTTGTATCAATACAGTTATGGCACCAAAAAATTGACATAAAATTTTGAATATATTCAGTAGCGAAGAGTCGATTAAATTCATGTACAATAGACTTAAGATTATGAATACTATAACAAATGTCTTGTATAAAGTAATTTGTCCGACATTTGCCATTTTAATACAATTATATTTGACCACAAAATAAATTATATATTAAATAATATTGAAATTAATCTATAGAGATCTATCGTCTGAAAATATTGCAAAAGCATTACATAACCCACAATATAAGCAAATAATTTATCACAAAATTAATCACAAGAATTAGTTTTTTTTGCATATTTTAATACTTTAACAAAAACTTATCTCATTTTAAACGCAAACAAACCAATTAATTTGCAAGATGTTTTTTAGTGTTTAATGACAATCGTAAATTAAATAAAATGATATTTTAAAGTTTTTTTAAATATCATATTTTAAATATGATATTTATCAATAAATTATCGGTTGCATAAATAAAAATGCAAAACTCATACAGTATTATATAAGTTGTGTGAATTGACAAAATTTCAGCGTTTGGTTCACACAACTGCTTGTTTTCAGAATTGATATAATACTATATAATATAAAATAACAGTAAAATTAATTATATTTAAGTATAAAGTGTTAAATATTTAAACAACGCCTTAACTTGGAGGCCAAATTTAAAAGCTATGCAATTATTATTAATGCATGTGTGCCACCTCTGGTGTTTAGAGCTCTGATCTCAGAGTTTAGGAGTAATGTTTTATAAACTAATATTTTATATCGTTTTTATGGAATAACCCCAACTATCTGTACTGTATATACGCCCCTCTCTATCCCCTATATAAGGCGTGCTCTCTCTGCTGTGTAGTTAGAGTCCCTTTGGTTTGCATTCAATAAACGTTAAGTTATTTTATAACCAAGTGTTTGGTCAACACACGACTCGACGCCACTCTATCGGTGACACGCGCTCGACTGGTGAGCCCATCAACGCGTGCAGCAATCAGTTCCGCAGTCGGGAGCACCGACTGGTCACCGAACGCCTAGCGGCCGAAGATAGAGTGCGCGTGGGTTACGGCGAGCCCTGACCCCCAAGCGAGCAGTGGTAGGCGTGCGGCCGGAGTGCGCCTCCATTGACGTCCGGAGAGGATCCGAGAGTAGGAGCACTACTGACCAACAGCGAGTGGTGGCGAGTGTGCGGACGGAGTGCACTCACATCGCCGACCGGAGGGGATCCGAAGAGTGAGAGCATCACTGGTGAGGAGTACTCACACCCGTCCATCAGTTGGACAGACCGTCAGTTCCGACGCTCGGAGCTGACACCCGTTGGAAAGGCTCGGGCCTAGAACAAACGAACCGTTGCGACCGATTAGAGCCGTCACTTCACTTGGCACGAGTGACAGCTGGCAAAACGAGACACTCGGCTCACGTCTCGTACACATGTATAAAATATTTTTGTAATTGTAAAGATTGGTAAATTACCATTTTTGAAGCTAATATTAGGTAATTTAAATGTTTGTTACTTACTATAGTTTTAAAATAAAAATATATTGACATCAGACATTATCAGAAGTTAGAAATCATATTATCCTGATTTAGAAACTCTAAACATGTGATATAAATATTTTTGTATAATTACTATAATTATCGTAAAAGATATTAAAATTAATATTCACTATTGATCAAGGCTACCTTTTACGCTAATTAAAATATGGCAATTATTTGTCATGGTATTCAAGAAATTACAGATATTAAAATTATTTTGTTTTTAAACACATTTGGGTATTATTTATAATAAATATTTTAATATTTTATTTTAAAAATAATTATTTTATTTTAAAAATAATTATTTTATTTTTCATTAATAAATGAATTAAATATTTAATTTGATTGATTGACGTAATATTGAATATTTTATTTGTTTTAATTGTAAAAATGTTTTCTTTTAATGGGTTTACATCAAAATTATTTAAATTGATTAACATGATTATAATGTCCTAGTTGTTTAATTTTAAATTATGCAAAATTTTAAAATGTACGATACAGCACGGGGTATCACTTGTCGTTCCCGTTTTTACCCGACGAGTTACGCCCGGAGTTCAACTCCGACTTCCGGCAATACAAACCTATATTTATCATGCACCTAAAATACCCGCAAACACTGGCAATAACTAACAATATAATTATGTACAAAATAAAATACTTTTACTCAAAAAATTTTTAAACTTATAAAAAAAATATAATTATATTGAATACATTCTATAAATTCTTTAAGAAAATACAAAATTATTTCATTTGTTTCCTTAATAATACACTCATTTATTTTTTTGAATATCATTTTCATCTTTATTTTGTCGTATTTCTGAATTATTTGTCCCGACATTTGACTCAAACATGTATTTCGAGAGCATATCATATAAACGACTGAACGGTATCTCAAACCACAGACTCAGGGGAATCATAACTGCAAAGTTAATTATGGTCCAAATCGCGCTGTAAATTAGTATCAAATTATATGTCCCAACTGTAAACTTTACGTCGGGAAACACATGCGCCAAATAATAGGCGAGTATAGGGTGTGCCAGATATGAGGTCTGTTGTATGGAGCGTATGGGCCGCCAAAATGGGGCCATGTACAATTTGCTTAACCACGATGTAGTATTCTCCATATGGCTAATGATAATAAAGCCACAAATCAGTGACAACCCGATCACTGCGAGTCCACTCTCCAGGGCTGTGAGCACCGGGAGGTCACCGAAGTATTGGCTCTGTCTTAGCATTAGAGCGGTAAAAGATAGGGTCAAACAGACGGCTAATAACGCGATAATTTTGCGAACGGTTCGGTTGGCGTAGATTTTGGTTACGTATTGTTTTTCGACAAAATATCCCAATAGTAGTCCGTTGACATACGGCGAGATATAACGGTATATTGTTATGTGTGATTCATTTAACGTTTGATTAACAACACTGTAATAAAAACACATATTGAATTTTAATTATAAGCAAGGTGATAAAAAATCACGCTTTAAATAGAATTCTTAGAATGATAGTATTGCTTTTATAATGATTACTGTATATTAATTTTACAAAACTTACAAAAACATATTTAATGGTATATTTGTTATTATAAACTGGTCGCTCGCGCTCTCCACTGCCTTATCATATGTAGACGTTATATAAATTGTTGATCCAATTGACAATACATTAGCCATTATTACCAGAATTACGGCAATTTTAAATTGTCTATACAAAGATTCATCATTATGGAATATTTTATATTTAATGACTTACTTAATAAGTAGTATCATGATCGGCAAGATAATGACAATTAGTTGAACTAATACGCAATACGTCCAGATGTGAGGCATGCACTTTTATAAGTAAATAATTATTTTCAATTTTTAGAGAGAGAGAGAGAGAGAGAAAGAGAGAGAGAGAGAGAGCGAGATATAACGGTATATTGTTATGTGTGATTCATTTAACGTTTGATTAACAACACTGTAATAAAAACACATATTGAATTTTAATTATAAGCAAGGTGATAAAAAATCACGCTTTAAANAGAGTAAGAAAGAGAGAGAGAGAGAGAGAGAGAGAGAGAGAGAGAGCATGGATGAATGTGAAAATGTAAATACCATACCATTTGATCCCTTCCGACAATATTAGCGACAAATAGTATATTAAGAGACCATTTGTGAGAACACATCTCTTCCACGCGTTTGTCGTAAAAACGATTTGTTGTAAAATATTTCACAAAAATAATATAAAAATAAAGCCATAAATAATAAATGGGAATAATTCTCATCAATCGGTCGGTTAGGTATCTGACACTGACTTTCACCATATTTTTATCATTATATTTATGGGACTCCCGTATAAACCATTTCATTGATGCCATACCACTAATCATAAACAACATACTTAATACGTATCTATTTCCATAATAGAGTGAATACCTGGATATAATAAAATAATATTTAATATCGAACACAAATTTTACTTTTTATACAGTTTAAATAAACATAATATGTTATTAATGTGCATAAATGAACAGAATGTATGTATTTATAAATAAATTGTAATAGGTAATTTATTATATATATTCAACATGAATTTTGATTGAAATACTCACCATAATTTATCATCATATACGTTCATGGTGTAATTTTTATTTTCGGGCGTGTAGACACCGATGATAAAATTACAGTGTACTAAAACGGAGATGATATGAATTAACCCCCGGATACCATCCAAAACGTTGCCCTTTTGGCCCACTTTTAAGTCATTTATTTGAATAGATTTGCGGTAATTAGCGATCAGTGAAAAACAATTCAATATTTTATTTATTGTATTTTTATTGTGATTTTTATCCCAATATTTAACGCAAAATATTTGCATAAATGTGGCAAAAAATACAATTATAGACCATATTATTATGAATATAAATATCATTAATTCTATTGATAGAAAAGTGTACATTTTTAATGAATATAGTGTTTTCTCATAGAATATGTCACTTTGAAGCTCTAATAAAACTAAAACATAATTAAACTTCAAAATTTCTAGAATTATGTGTAACTATTTTGTACATTCATTATTTTGCATGTGATTAGCATTAAGTTGTTTATCCTTGATTTCCCATTTAATTTCTTTTAAAAAGTTTATTATTCTATACGATAATATTTATTTTAATTGCTTCTGCTTTTAATAAACTAAAATAAATTTATTCAAAATGTTTAAAATATAATTGCTATAATTAAATACAGGGTATGTGAGGCTATAATTACTAAACATATTGTAGAGTGGAAATTAAATAACTTTTCATTTTATACATACTCTATATAATGCATCCTTATTATAAAACACAATTACATAATACAACACATTATGCTTTATCTACTATATAATCAATTATTTATAATACTATAGAGTGGAAATTAAATAACTTTTCATTTTATACATACTCTATATAATGCATCCTTATTATAAAACACAATTACATAATACAACACATTATGCTTTATCTACTATATAATCAATTATTTATAATACTGTCTTATCTCTGTCACACACTCACTTCCACACACTGTTTTGTGACACCACCCGAGTCATGCCGTATACACTGGGCGGTACGATTGTTAATGATACTCAACCAATAATTGATTAGAGTTTTTATTCAACTCTACCAAATGACCCAATAGAAACACTTGTTATTAGGTAGATGCCCACTATATAACCCCTATGCAACACACAATACACACAATTTGGGTTCTTGTCTAAAACACCACTAAACTCCTGGTTTTGCCGATTATACTATACTTATGTGTATTTTTACTTATGTGTTATTAAATAAATAACTGTTATTTTAACTTAAACCCAAAGTCTATTCATTATAACCCAATTCAAGACCCGAGGACCAGAAATGGACACCATACAAATAGCGGCCTAACGACAACACAATACTAAGGTAGGGTTTCCTTTGTTGATACTCGTCACCTACCTATACTATACAAGGGAAACCGCCGGCCGCCACGGCAACCTGTCCGAATGGCCATAGGACATGGTGTTGTGGACGGTTTGGCTCTACAATACACATATAATTTTATGACATTTAATATTCATTAATTACACTAAAATAAATTTTATATATAGTCATACAGTATGTCAAATTTTAAATATTAATAGTACAGAACATTATTATCATTATTATCAACATCATCACAACAACATCATTTATCATGTTGTACAGCATTGTTAGGCCAAACCTAGCAACACTAATCTACACTTACATTGTTACTACACAAAGCGCATGTGCGAACACCAGTCGAATGTAATACAATTTGCATCGAGCACATGCGCTTTGTGTAGTAACAATGTAAGTGTAGATTAGGGTGGCTAGGCTTGGCCTAACAATGCTGTATATTTTATATTGAATTTTTATTTTAGAATCTAAAATATAGAAATGGTTGTGAGTAATTATATTTAGAGATGTTAGTGGTGAAAGTTTAGGAACGTTTAGGGGTCTCGATGAACATTTAGACTAAAGGTGTATGTTCAAAAGTGGGACCGCTTGCACCCAAGAGATATTTTATATACTGAAAGTACTTGATCTACAATATCTAGTGGTATACTTAATATGGTAAAGTGACCTCGGGGTTGGCCGCAGTGACCACTTATATCGGTAAAATTTTGAAAATCAAATCTTATATTTTATAAATAACCATATCATATTATATATCAATAGAAAGGTATTGAAGAGTAGAATCGAAATCCGAAGGAATTTCTGAAATTTGACATAAGAGATAAAAGTTATACCAAAATTAAGAAATTGAGTATCAGTTATGTACGTTTTTTATAGTGAATAACGTCATTACCAAACATCAGTTATATTAATTTTAATTATGCTTACGATGATAATTAATTTTGCAAATTTAAAAAAAAATAAAATTTTTTAATATACAATTTTGGGCCCAGCACCCATTAACATTGAACTTTACCCTTTTCAACCACTCTATATTAGCGACATCTATATTACACATATTTACTAAAGAAATCACTAATTTTGGTAATTTAAACTAAATTAACAACTATTATCAAAAAGTGATTCATTTAAATACTAAATAGAATACTTAGTTTGTTGTATATTCATTATTATTTTGTAGTATAAAATATTAGAATTCATACTTTAAGTAAAATATTCACAGAATACACAACAGAATTTGCAAGAATATTTACTAAATTTGAAATACTTAAAGAACCAAAGTAAATTATGTAATTATTTTAAATGAAAAATGTTTTAATTAGTTTGATGTTGATATACACTTACTTGATATATGACTTTTGCATTCATTTAGTGAATCCATTGATAGTAGAAAAGGATGACAACAAAAACCATCGATTGATTTGCAACTAATATGCAATTGTTTTAATTGTTTAAAACAATCATTAATTGTGGGCAATATTTGGCTAACATTTGCCGACAACTCTAAGCAAAGTGAACGCAATTTAACACAATTAACGCCAATCTCTTTGAAACAATGGTTAAAATTTTGTGACTCTGGCTTATGATGGAGTATAAATGTCAGCTCAATTAACTCATTACAACGTGATATATTTTTATTAACCATGTTAAGATTATCGCGTGAAGCGAGCACTACGTAAATTGTTTTAATTTGACCATGGTAGTCATCGATAAACATGTTAAACCTATTGGCCAATGAATCGTAATATTCAAACGATACGCTCTCGAGTTTAGTAAATGATAAACGATCTTGATCAAATAATTTGCTAAAATCTGGCTTCCATGCGGCGCAACCATACTTGGACACCAAGCTCATTTTACGTAAATTATGGCAATTACTCATGTGTTTAATCATTGAGTTATAATAGGGTTTAAGTCTGTTTGGCGTAAAAACAATTGACTGTAATTGTGGGCCAAACCTATCGTACAGGAGCTCAATGGACTCTGCTTTGATCAAGGTGGTTTCGTTGAGATGAATAGCGATTAATTTGGGACAGTGTTTGACAATAATGACCATCCATTGTAAGGCCAGTGGGTATATGTAATGCCTCTGGTATGCGTTGATAGGCTTACGGGACGTATATCTGTCCGCTGAAAAGCTTATGAATGAAATGTTTGAACACTTTTTCATTATTGTCTCAAATTGTTTCAAATTTGAATAGTTTTGTATCAATTTATCGTTAATTATGAGCTCTGTTTGTGTCGTAAAGACTAATCTCTGCCACTGTTTGGACACACATTCACACCGGAATCGGTCCTCATATGACAGGTAAGACAATATGTGTCCACACATGTCATCACCAAATCGAGAGAAATAGTCTTTTGGATAGTTTTGTGATGTCTTTGTCTGGTTTTTGTTAACAACTTTTTGCATTTTATTAACCATTATTAACACAAAACTCTGTTATATTTAACAATCACTTTATATTTCAATATAAAATATTATTATAATCTATAACTTAAGTTGTATGGAATAGTGTATAATAAGGTAAATCAATATTTTTATCTTTATTATCTGACAGTATTTAATAACTTATTAATAATAACAGATAAATGTCGACCAGATATCTATACCAACGCAATGATAAAGTGCTACACTTTTGCACTTATAATGAAATAATGTATAAAAATTTTAATTTCATGATTTATTAAAAAAAATATACTGTTGCTTGTTTAAACATCAAATACTGTATATAATTTATTGTACAATTTATTTAAAATGTTATTTTATAAAAAATAATGCTTAATTTTTTAAATGAATAAATAAAAATGTATAATTAATAATTATTAATTATAAACAAAAAAGTAATCCATTAAAAATTAATAGTATAATTAATAAACAAATATATAATTAAAATCTTAAGTATCAAATTAAGTAATTTTAATACAATATAGTATGTAAACTGACAACACATGACAAAAGCTATCAATTTTCAGCACATTGTAATTTAAATATATATTTTTAAACAAATGCTTTCTTATGAAAAGTGACATTAGTTTGCATTAAGTTAAGACAAGTTTCAATATTACAGTATATTTAAATACCAAAAGTCATATGAGATGAGATAATTGTAAGTTAAGGGCTAATCCAGGGATTATCCGCAATGGTATGCAGTCCTATTATAGGACTCCTATATACTTATCTCTTTGAAAACTTTTGATTTTTGTTTGAAATCAAAATTGTTTTTCAATTGTGTTTTTCATATCTCATAGAAAACAATGCGATTTTGTTGGAAAAACTACAGCTTTAAGTATTCGGGCGATTGTTTTGACCACTTATTCGCCAAAGAAAACGGGAAAATGGCGTTCAAATCGGCGGACGTGGAGATGGACTGGGGGTACGACCAGAGCTCAGTCACCGGTGGCGATGATAGGTCCCAAATACAGGCCTTACGACACCTGAACATCAAATACAGGTGCACCGACTCGGAGGCCATTCACGCCATACCCAATCATTTGCGACAAATCGGCGCCAATTGTCAACAGTTGCGGTCACTGTCCGTCAATTTGACGGTCAGCTCAGCGGCTGTGATGACCGAAATCGTGGCCACAATTGACCGACACTTTCGACTGTTGAGACGGCTGGAGATCAGCGGCTATTTTCCCGACGACTTTGCGCTGACGGCCGGCGCGCTGTCTGAGTGCCGGTGTTTAACGCATTTGACAATCAGTGCATACAATCACGTGATTAACGACGAGTTCGCGGCCACTATTGACACATACTTTCCGTCACTGCAGTACTTATGGCTGTCGAACGTCCGCATCACTGACGCCTTGTTGTACGCGTTGTCACGTTTGGCCACAATTCAAACCATCGGTCTCTACGGTAGCGATGAGTTTAGCGAAGTGTCTGCTCGTAAACTGGCCGACAAATATCCGACTCTTAAGCTTCAGCTTAATTCATACATGTATTGACTGTGTTATGGAAAAATAAAAACCTGTTTTTATTTAACATTTTTATTTGTTACTTTATTATTATATTTTTACAAAATTATGTTTTAATTGTATTTTAACTTTATTCAAATTGAATATTACATGAAGATGTATAAAGTAAAGTATCTAGTGTTTGTGAGTGGTTTTAAGGTGTTAGATTTGTGCTGGTTAATTATTTTAATTTTATTTATTTATGATTTATTTGTATTTTGATTCGAGTTTTGCATAGATTTAGTACATTTAGATTAATACATTTAATTAATTTATTTATGATGTGAGTTATATTTATTTTAACCTTGTCAACACATTTTAATTAATTATTATTTAATAAAAAAAAAATATTATTTTTATATTTAATTGTAAATAACAGAGAAGAAATAAATGTTTAAGTGGAATCAAGGTCTAATTAAATATTGGGATATTAGGATATTACATTTATCACCATAATGTAACATTTCAATATAAACAAGAACTTAATTCAAAACACTGTAAAAACATTTAAGATAAATTTATTCAATTTGTGCAAATAATTATCATTTAAATGAAAAATGTCACTGGATAAAATAAAAGTATGTAGATTACAATTAACTATGATAATTATTTAAATCGTGGCAATTTTTAACAAGGTTTGGTGCAATGAAAATAAATACTCGCTACTAATTATATTGGCCGCTATTATGGGCCTAACTCTAGGGTTTATAATGAAGTCCATATTCACTATAAGTCCCATAGCGTTGGTATATATCGGACTTCCGGGCACTTTACTTATACGTGCGTTTAAAATGATCATTGTGCCCTTCATTGTTTCGTCCCTGTCCACAAGTATGTTATAAATTATTATTAATATTATAAGTTGCGTAAACACTAGTTAAAACTCAGGTTTGATAGAGTGACCAGAAATGTTCATGTAATTCGTTAGGCAGCAAAAAAAATGATAATTTTTATTTTAATAATAATTTGATATATTTATTAATATATATTTAACAATAGATACGAGTTTGGATAATTGTATCAAGCAAGTCTATATTACATTAGTGTTTAAAATGTTATAAAACTAAATAAAAATGACACTTTTATTATAATCATTAACTTTGCAATCTATTTACATCAGGCATAACGGCTACAAAACGTGGTGAAAATAAGCGAATGATTGTGTTGACATTTATATTGGTTATAGTGTTTACCATGTTTTGCATCATATTTTCTATATTCATGATATTTACGATAAGGCCAGGGGTAAGGGATGTGTCGGCCCGTGAGGCCAGTCATAGGGATGTGACGGCCGGTCAGTCCTCATCACCAGTCGGTCGTGACATCAAACAAATGATCTCCAGTCAAGACGAGAGCATTTACGACATGTTTATGTAAGTTATGTTTGTATTAATACATTTGTTTAGTACAATTGATTATAAACATAATAATTATTAAATCTAAATTTACATTTACATAAATTTTACATAAATTATGCTTATGTAGCACGCTTTATAATTTAAACATACTTATAAAATGAATTAGTAACAGTATTATCATGGTAATACCAAATATTGTGTACGTTATGGTATTTTAAATAAGTTTTTCATTAGTGCAAAGGCATAACTTTTGCTTTAACTTTAGTGTAATTTTAATAATTACAATAATTTATTTACTTAAATTTAACCACAATTAAATATAGGAATTTAGTACCTGATAACATTATAGCCGCAGCGTTTACCACACATTATACAGCACTCGTACCGCTCGACCCCCAAAATCTGACCCTCGGCTACAAGAAAGTGGCCGAACGGGCGGTCAAACCAAATATGTTGGGTTTGTGTGTATTCGCACTCGTATTGGGTTTCGCTGTTTTACAGTTGGATTCAAAGGCCGAGAATATCAGGAATATTCTGTACGAAACCAATGCGGTTATCCTGACAATCATGATGTCTTTGTTAAAGTAACCATGCTCATTGTTTTAAGCAAAATTACTGCATAATGCATAATTATATTATTAATCATCAAAATAATCATAATACAATTTTGCCAGAGTAATGCCAATCGGTATGTTTTGCTGGATGTTTGTGGAAGCTGTGAAAATGAAATCACCAAGCAAAATTATCGGCCAACTGGGCATGTTATACATTACCGCGATCATAACATTCTCGTGCATTTGGTTCGTAGTGTACCCAACTGTCTATTTTTTAATTGTACGCAAAAATCCATTTAAATTTTACGCCACTATTACGCCGGTAATTTTGTTGGCATTTGGCACGGCATCGAGGTTAGTGCTAGCTAAAACCAATCCATCAGGTAACTTACAAATTACATGTATTTTAATCTATGGTAAGCGCCCTAACACTGCCGGTTACCATAAAGACAATGATGGAAAAATATCACCTACATCCATCGGTGGCACAGTTTGTGTTGCCACTGGGTATGAACATTAACATGAATGGCTCAGCCATGTACTACCCGGCCGTTGCTTTATTTGTGGCCCAAATGCACAACCATTCAGTCACACTACACATGTTGATCACTTTATGGTATGTCTCATTTGTACCACTTGTTTTTAACTTATCCTGAGTATTTTCTGTATTTTGTTTAGCATATTTACCCTGATCATGTCAATGGCTATACCCAGCGCACCGGCTAGTGGTGGATCCCTGGTGCATTTTATATCCTATTGCGCGGTTATTGGCATTGATTATCCCCTGGATATACTCGCCTATACCATGACTATGGATTGGTTAATGTTAGTAGAGCTAGATTAAACATTGATTATGATAATGTATGATAATGAATTATTGGTTTTTATTCACATTAATTAGGGATCGCATGCGTACCGTAACCAACGTATTGGGCGACTGTTTCATATCGGCAATTGTCCAGAAATTGTGTCACATTAAGTCCGATATAACCGATGATTATAACCTTGCACAAATGCTGCCACCAATTTCTGGCTGAGAATAAGCATGGTTATTTATTCATTTATTCGTTTGATCAATTTAATTTAATGTGTAGTTAACATTAGGTATTAATTATTTGTTTGTACAATGTTATATGTTTTGTTAATTTACTTTAGTGCTAATTATATACATTTTAATATTAAATGTAAGTTTTGTATTATACTGTATATTGTTTTTTGTTATAATTTAGAATTTTATATATTTTTTGACATTATTGCAAATTACAATATGGTTTATTATTATTTTCTGTTATCGCTTGCATTTATATAATAAATGCGAGTTAGCAGAAACCCATGGTGAATTAAAATATAAATCAATTATTATTCCGTTGGCTATAGTTTTAGATAAATATATTAAATGATTAATAAAATTATTTATTATTAAATTTAGATTAATAAATAGGTTTATAAAAAAAATTTTATAAAGAGAATGTGTATTTTTTATTTGTAACTATTTTCCACAACATGTGTAAGTGAAATGGTTACAATTTGTAAGTTACAAGTTACTTTAAGTTGCAAACAATGTCTTAAGTTATGTACATTTTTATTACAAGCTAAAATGAACAAAAATAAAATAAATATTTGTGAAACATTTATCGCTTACATTGTCCATGGTGAATAAAGTATTATTTAATTATTTAATTCAATAAGTTTTTGATGTAAAATGTGTTAAATGTGTGCAACAATTGAGTGAATCGCGGGTTAAAAGCAATCCATTGGATGTTTTATTTACAATATTTAATCGCTTTAATTGTGTGAAACACTCATTAATTGGTGGCATTACTTCGGCCGCGTTTTTCATTGACAGCGAAAGTCGTCTCAATTTAACACATTTTATGCCAATTTGTTTAAACTGGTGAATAAAATCGGGCGAAATTACATTGCTAAAAATACCACATACAATTTGTAGGTCAATTAACGAGTTAAATCCAGATAAAGTGGCCATAATTGTATTGTTGATAGCGTTTGGCGATCCGTAATATCCTCTCAAATTAATTGAAAGCGATTTGATTTGTTTGCCGTAAATGTTGGCAAACGAGTGAAAATTGTCGCTAATATTACCGTTAAAACTGACCGATAGTTTGCTAAGCGATGGGAATAAACGGGTATTTTTGCGAGAGTTAAATAAATATCGCCACCATTTAACAAGATCATTATGGTGATGCACGGGTGGAAATGCTATTTCGCGTACATTACGGCACTGTTTAATAAAGTTTATGATTATTAGGTTATTAGACGGGCCAAAGTCTAGTGAACCAATTTTGATGGTTTGAATGTTTGTACACTTTTTGACAATTTTCCCGATTTGTGGCTCACTTTTTGCCGACACTAATCCCTCAGTTATTGTGAGCTCTGTTTGTGTCGTGAATATCAATTGTTGCCATTGAGTGGACACACATTCACATCGGAATCGGTCCTCAAATGACAGGTAAGACAATATGTATTGACACATGTCATCACCGAATCGGTCCAAAGAGTCTTTTGGATACATAGGATTGTGTGAAATATTTTTGTCCATTTTATCAAATTATTAGCACAATCTTGCAATGATTGCCAATAATTATAATATCTGTAGATATATGTAAAATACAAAAAAGTAAAATATAAATTAGTAAAAATTTTATTAATACTTACATGTTAGAAATTATATTTTGTGCAAATAATAATATTTGTAATGAAAGTGTGATATAATTGTATTTCGAGTCAATATATGTGGTAATCGCCGACTTAATGGACGTCTCACTTCAGGCCCTGTAGTTCCTGTGCTTTACAATATGGTTGAGAGAATAGAAACACACGGTTTGAAAATTAAACAACTTTTTAAAAAATAAATAGAGAAAACGATATAAAAAATATTAAACATCATTATTTATATAGCCGTGAGTTTACATTCAAGTATATTCAATACAATTTTATTGGTTATTTGTTAGAACGCGGGTAATTGCCATATATGGCAATGTTCTTGCAAAATTATCATACTGTATATTATACTAATCTTTGTAATTCAATTAATTTATAGTTTATAAATAAGGAATTATTCTCTGTTAATAACGAATAGAAATGTGTACAGTAACTTTATCAACATAGATTAATGACAACATAAAACAATATATTATTTATCTGAATCGTGTATCGGTATATTTATTTTAATATTATCAATAAATAATCTCATTCATTTATTTATAAAAAAGAATACCTTATATGGTTTTAACTTTGGTATCTTTACCAATTTTAGTACACATACACTTCACTTATTCGTTTATTCAAAAATACATTTACATATTTACATTTACTTTTCCAGACAGTGTTAAATCAAGTATACTATTCCAACTAAATGAACTATTCATCTACAACAGTAACATATAATAGGGAGGTGTGAGAGTCGATAGACAACAGAAATAGGAGAGGGGGTTGGTAACAGTGGTTGTGAGCAATTTGTGAATGTCAATGTTTATATTTTGAAATAAAACACTTCAAAGTTATTAAATTGTTTAATAAACTAATAATATTTTAAACTTTAAATGGCTGAGTACGCTAGTAAACTACTATTATATATTCGCGATTTTTGTATATGCCATACAAAATATTAGTTATCATAATAAATAATTGTCATTGTATTATGTAATGTAATGTTACATTACTAATGTACAGTCTGTGTAAACCATTTTTGATGATTGCATATTTGCATTGAAAAGCATTACAAGAGTAGGTTATCTTAAACATGTGTAGATCAGGCATTTGTAAACCGATTTTAATAAACTCGGCTGTTCTTAATTAATTAAAAGTTGTAC